ATTAAAGATGTTGAAACTGTCATTCCCTCAACTGAGAGGTAATGTTGCATCCAGGCTGGTTTGCTGACTGGCTTTGGCCAATTGAATATGGTAGATGCCACACTGTTCCAATTCTGGGCCTCATAGTTCTGTTTTGTACTTTTCAAAATCCTGAACCATCAATTTAAGGTGACTTGCTTTCCTACTGGAAAGACCACGTGGAAAAAAATGGCCCTAAAATCTCATCGAAAGAGAGAGGCCATGCCTTGCCAGCAACCCATCAACCCCCAGCCTTGCAGCTATCCCTACCAAGGCTCTACTCAGGTAAGTTAAGCATCTTGGATATTCCAGCTCTATCTACCATCTAAGACCATCAGAAGAGTTGCTACCTGAGTTCTAGTCAACTTTCAAAACTGTGAGGCAATAAAGAATTATTGTTGTAAGCCACTAAATTTTAGGGTAGTTTGTCACACAGAAATAGACAACTGAATCTGGAATGTTAATATATACATGTGGAATCTGGAATGTAGTATATACATGTGCACACAAAGGAATACTACTCAACTATAGAAATGATGAAATCTTGCCTTCGCAATAACATGGGTGGAACTGGAGGGCATTTGTACTAAATGAAATGTCAGAGGAAGAAAAATAAATATCAGATAATTTCACTCAAATGTGGAATATAAAGAAGCAAAGCAAAGGAACAGACAAAATCCAAACAAAACAAATCCTTGCTATCTTTTTTTAAAAGATTTATTTATTTATGCATACAGGAGCTGGGGTACAGGCCAGAGATACTGCGGTGGGGACTGTGAGAGGATTCACCAGAGAGAGTGGGGAACAGAACAGGCAGACCGACTGAAATACACTGCTGAGGAGAGCAGCGGGCGAGACAGGAGAGGTCTGCTGTGCCATATGGTTTGCTCTTTGGCAGGCCGGGGATCGAACTCATGCTGCAGAGGCTGCAAATTGCTTCAGAGTGTGGTGCTTAACCCCTTGCACCATCAGGGAGGCCCCAAATCCTTGATATCTGACTACAGAACTGAGACTACCAGCGGGGAAGAGTAGGTGTGGGGAAACAAAACTGGGAAGGGGCCCAATGAATTATGGTGAAGGATTATTAGTGATTTGGTGGTGGGTGTGGTGTGGTAACACATATTTGCAGAGGTGTGAACATATACACCTATAGTGCTATGAAATAATGTTTTCTTAATAAAAATAGTCTAATATTAATAAAATGAAACTCTCAGCCTTCGTTTTCTTATCCAGAAAATGGAAACAGTAATATTCATGGGGTTTCTCTGTGGCTGTCCATAAACCACCCACAACTGTGCTGGAAGACACAGTTATGTATTAAGTACCAGTCCTTATCCTTTCTTTTCCATGGCAGGGCATTAAGCTGCAGGCTCATCCATCCAGTCTCATCACTAATCAAACCTCCCTTTCCCTGTCCAGTCCATTTCCTTTTACACTTTGTTTTGTGGAAGACGACATGATAAAGTCATCCCAGAAGACATGGGCAACAGCTTCATTTGTTAGGGATTCAGGGATACTTGCATTGAGGAAGAGCCCCTTCTAAGCTCATATCTCTTGCCCAATGATTGAAACTTTTGCAGCAGACTTCAGGGGCAAAGAGGAAGGGAGAATGCTGGGATGGGAGAGAAGAGTATCTTCAGGGAAGGAATTTACCTTTTTGGAACACTTTCATCTTTCTTGTTTGTAAGTCCTTAGTCTTAGGAAAACATAGCCCAGTGCAATACTCAGCCATGCCCAAAGCAAAGGAAATTTACACTTTCTTGCACTCTGTAGCAATGTCTATTTACCATTGAGCATCTCAATTGCTCTTATTCTTTCCTCAGCTTTAAACCACAAGAGTCTGTTCACTTTTGCAAAGTGGGTCAGATCTGGAAAGGAAGACAAGCACCATTTTGCAGTTTAGCCTTCAACTCTTCAGTTAGTGAAGGCAACAATTTCCCCCAGGTTGAAAAGGAGGTAGGAATGGCAGGAGACTTGAGTCAGAAAATGATTCTCCAAGACCCTGTTGATGAGTTTATTTTTCTACACAGATATTTTCTGACACAAAGCTGGGGAGGACTTTGGGAGAATGTACAGAGAGATGGGCCCTACAACAGTTCTGTCTTAGAGAATACATACAACGTCTTGCTGTTTCCACTCCTGTTTTTATAAAGCTGGTGTGAAAATATTAAAGAAAACTCTCACACTCAACAAAGAAAAGTCCCCTTGATAAGGATTCAGGTTTATTTTCAAGTTAAGTCAATGTTACTCAAATCTGATATGATTGTGTGGAAAGAGAATATTTTCAACCTTGATTCTTTTCTTGGTGTAGAGAGATACATATCGTAGAGAGATGACATTCTAAAAAAATACCATCAACTTAGTAAACTTTCAGCCAAATATTTTAACAAGACAAATAGTCATGATGATTGAGGAAAATGGGAATGGGAGAGCGTAGAGAACAAAAGAACATTAAATAAAAGAACAAATTGAAAATAGGCCTGGATAATGTGCCAACTACATAATCGGTCAACGAATAAGTATAAACTGGTTATTTCTGAAAGCATGTTTTTATATCTGCGCATAATGGAGAAATGGGGTATAATAGGTACATTGTCTAAGATCACTTCAAATTACAGATTGTTTTGGTTTTTGAAATTATTGTTGAGCTCAAGCTATTAGGCTAAGAAAGAGGAATATTTTATTGCTCCCTTCCATACTTTGGTTAATTAAATTTGTAATGCTTTGGAGATATGTTTGTGTTGGAGATTGATGACATTCTCACCAACCTCATTATCACCCAGTAAACGGATGCTGTAGCCCTTTCATTTCCTTGCCATGAGCAATGTAAAAATATGTCTCCCATCTAAGTGGAGATAGAGGGCAATAGAGTTAGTATACTTGGGTTTAAGTCCTGGGATGAGTCATTTACTTTCTCAAAAACTGTCTTTGACCATTGACAACGTGGAAATGATCGTGTTGTTCATACCAACCCAGTGAGATTATGCCTGACAATAAGAACACAATATTCTTGAAGGGCAGAAGGGAGACAAGTCTCACCATGAGAATATCCTGTGGCTGGGGATTGTGCCAGCCACTACCTTAATGTGGAGGGATGAGGCTAAACTGAAACTGGCCATGTAAAGTGGTCCAGACCTTCTAAGATTCCATTCTAACACACAGCCTAATGCAGTAGGCTGCCCCATCAACAATGGGTTTTCCTTAGAGCTAACGTGGATCATTCCAGTTTGGCAGATGGACCAAACTTTGTCAGAAACAGAAAGCATTTCTTTTGGTCTTTATGGAAGCAAATCTTTCAAGTTAGTTATTTTAAATTAGAAAAGTGATACAAATTCAAATGAAAGAATAGTAAAAAGGGGATTAGCATAAAATAACAGGTCCCTCCTAGTTTCTCTGTTAAAAGTTTCTTTAACTCATCATACATACCATTAAAACTCTGGAAAGTGAATTTTTGTCTATAGATTTACCTGTTGAGTCCTCCCTATGGACCATGAAGTATTCAGTGCAATTGTAATCATCACTCATTTCCCATCCTCCACTCCATTTTCAGGTTTTTTTAGTTATATTTAATTATTACAAGGACTATCTTTGTAATTTTAATTAATATATATTCAAACCTCTATTTCTTTATTTAACAGAATTAGACTTCTATTTATTTCCTGCTAGGAGAAATTAGATTAGTTTACTGGTGTTCTCTTGTATTTCTTCATTCTGCAAAATTTTGATTAATAAGTCATTTTCATATCGTTAGGGTTTATATTTGCATTGTTTTCTGATTATAATGTTTTCTGTATTTAGCTTGTAATTTGATTAAAGAATTGAAAACCAATAAAACATTACTATAATTATGCAAATATTATTCACTGCAAACCAGGGAGTCTGTGATTGGACCTAAAGAGAAATAAACTTAGTCTAATAACATTTTCCCACAAAAGCATTTTCTCAAGTGTGTTAAGGTCAAATCCATTCTTTTAAAATATCTCCTATCTTTATTAATTTGTTTTGTGTCAACTGCACTCTTTTTACATCTCATGTGGTTTCCTATCTTTGATTCCATTTTTTTTTTTTTGGTTGTTATTCTGGAATACCTGCTTGAGAAGATATTTTTCACATAGAATTCATGGTGGTAAATTTTCAGTTTTTGCATTTTTGCAAATATCTTTATTTTGTTCCCATTTTATAGATTGGTTGGATATAAACTCTAGGCTTAAAATAACTTGGAACTTTTAAAGGATTGCTGTATTACTGTCTAGCATCAAGGGTTATTGATGGGAAATCTAATGTTAACCCATTCTTTATTCTGTTGTGAGCAGCCTTTTTTCCTCTGGAAGTTTGAGATTTTTTATTCTTGGATTTCTGAAATTTCATTAGGACCTGTTTTGAAATGGGTCTTCTTTTTTTCATTCATCCTGCTTATCATTTAGTGAATCTTTTAAATCTAGAGATATTTTTCTTCTTTTGGTTCAGAGAATTTTTCTTGTATTATGTCTTTTTTTATCTCCTCCCTTCTGTAATCTTTTTTATGGTTCTAGAATTCCCATTAGCCAGTTACTAATCCCAAAATTTTCTTCTTTGCCACCTTGTCCTTTGGTACTTTATTCTGAGAGATTTCTGGAGCTTGCCAGATCTCCATTTGTCATCCACAGTGCATTCAATTATGTCCATTGAATTTATTTAGATATAATTTTTTTGTTTCATGACTTCTTTTTTCTGTTGTTCTCTGAACACTTTAAGAAAGGTAGCACTTTGTTTTTGGTTATTGGATTCATTGTCCTCTTCAATCTTTTCTGGAATTAATTTAACTTTTAAAATGCTTCCTTCTATTTTTCTGAACAATCTTTATTCTCTGTTAGGTAAATTGTTCCCTATCTTGTTTTTGTTCATAACTATGTTAAATATTTAGTAATTCTTAGAATTCTATTCTAATAATATTATTAGAATAATATAATAATATAATAATATTCTATTCTTAGAATTCTATTCTATTCTAGTGGGCTGAGTTCAAGAGTTTGATTTTTCAGAGAGACTGTACTTAAAATGCTCTTCTTCATATCTAAGTAACTAAAGCATTTTAATTTCTTAAATAGTTGATGTCTTACTATACAGAAAGGTGCAACAAATCCAGAGCCAAGGTACACGTAAATCATAATCAGTAATGGCCACTTATTTTTCACTGAAAATGGCAAATTCTCCTCTGGGTCCTCACAGTGGCTCCTCTGAGCCACAGAGGTGCTAAACCTCTGGATGCTCTGTTCTGACATAGCACAGTCAAAGCCTGTGATAAATAGAGGCACCAAACCAAGGCTCCTATTTTCACAAACTGTTTCTCTGTATGGTTTGTTTTTCATTTTAATGAAAATACTTTAAAATATCAATCACAGATTCTATACTGTCTAGATGTAAGAAACAGCATTCGTGTTGTGTTTGTAACATGGCATTCTTATCTTGTGTTGCCCAAATAACATCAAAGCCCTCTGTATGGGGAGGTGATTTGCACAGGCAGACTGTCTGGGTCCCTGTTTGGAACTACAATTTTAGTGAATTTCACTCATGGCTGTATAACTTACTACTCAAATGGGAACATTTTTCAGCAAGACAGGAAAACTATTAATTATTATATGAGGATTATATCATTAATGAACTGCCTGGAAAACACAGAATGATAGGTCATTTTGTTCAAGGTGGAACGACTTTACTTATTTTCTCCCTGACAGCTGTCTAGAAGTCCAGAATTGTCTCTCACACTGCTTTGCTTCTACCACAGTACCCTGCAGTGCCCAATCCCAATATAGGACCCCTCTCTAGGAAGAGGGCTCCCCTTCTCCAGGGGATATTTCTCCAGGCTTTACCCAGAAGATGAAATCACTAGTTGTAAGCTGGTCTGCTGTCATGGGGGAGTGGGCATTGCCTCACTAATTCAGTTGTTCCAGATGTAGTTCTTTTAATTAATTGCTCTTAAGATTTCTCATTTTCCCACCTGCTGTTTCCCCTACCCCTCCAGGTTTAGTTTTGTGTTGTTGACTCTGAGCTTGGAACCTGCCCAGGACTTCCTTGCAGCTTCCTCACTTCTCATATTAGCGTCATTCTAGACCCATGTGATTTCCATCTTCCGGGAATGCCTCCTTTTCTAGTCCATTCATGTTGCACTCTCTTTTTTCTGAAAAGTTTTGATTTCATTATTTAAAAACATAATAAAAACATAATCCTATAAAACATAATAATAAAAACATAATCCTATAATTTCTATAGGATCTTTCCAGAAAGGTCAGGCAATATCAGGATACCATTAGCATATAGAGTTCCCAACTTGATAATTATGAATTTGATCTGAATATAAATGTATCTGCTCTCCTGAAGACACATATACACATACACACACAATTTCAAAGTAAACAATAATATAACCCTGGAATGACCCCTTTAGGTAACTACATCCTTTTCTGACCTTTCCTTCCCTAAGTAAACTACTAACCCAGCATTTTATGAAGGAATCATTTCTCAGGAGAGAGTTTTCTTAATTAAAACTCCACTTACTTTTTAACTCACTGTTCGTGTAACTCACACCCATCCTAAATTAAAGAGGGAATAGTTAATTGGTTTAAAATAGAAAACTGTTTCTTCTAATGTTGTTTGGATGTGTCAGAAAAGATTCAGAAGTTGAAAACTAAATTTAAACATATGTTGAGAAATTACCATAGTGTTGGGCTAACTGGTGTAACAAACAAACAAGTACAATATAAAATTTCAGTCCTCAATTCATTCATTAGCCAGTAGAATTGAAAATATATGCAGAGAAAATTAGGGAACAACAGAAAGCAGTTCACTTGTCAGTAGCCAAGTATCAAGACCAGTCTTCTAGGATTGTGATTTCACAGCCTCCGGGACCTCTGGGACCTCATAGTTCATGGCTGTGAGGCATACTCTGACCTTTGAAGACTGAGTAGGCATTGGACTGGTAGAGAAGAAAGGCCAAATAATCCAGGCGAAACTTGTGCCAAGAGAAAGGCGGTAGCTCTGTGTGGGAGTCTGTAGGGTTGCTGAGATGAACAGAGTGTTCATATTATCATGAAGGCAAAAGTTTGGTTAGCTAGGGAACTGGGAACCTGTGAATGTTCTAAAATGCCTGCTGAAGTGTTTGAATTTTAGGTCATAGATTTAAAAGAGGCTGCAATGTATTTCAGAAATATTTATGAATGAGAGTTGTGGAGGATGGAGGAAAAATGAAGCTAACAGTTAATTTTAAAGTTAATCCAAAATTTCTTGTGAATGTGAACTCTAAGTCTAAGAACATGATTTCTCATATCATATCCAAGAGGTGATCCTAAGGAAGTTATTCTTCAATAAATGCTTGTATGTGTACATGTGAGCACGTGCACTGTCCAAAATGTTTTAATGATGCACCATTGGTATGAACACTATACTTTTTAATCTGGTGCCTAATTTATTTTACAAAAGACTACAGTCTTTTGACAGATAAAAGGAAAAAAGTTAAGACTCACATTTTAAAAACATTTTTTGTTTACCTTAAGTACAGAGACTATAAAGAAGGTATAGAAATCCAACATTACAAATGCATTTTTAAAAAGATTTATTTTTATTTATACAAGAACTGGGGTACAGGCCAGAGATGTGGGAGGGTGAGAGGATTCACCAGAGACAGAGTAGGGAGCAGAACAGGCAGACAGACCGAAAACACTGCTGAGGGCAGCTTCACAGTGCTGTGCTCAACTCACTGCGCCACCAGGGAGGCCCACAAATGCATTTCTTCCAGAAGCAAGGAGTCAGTCAAGATGTTAGTTCTGTCTCTGACAGTCAAGACCTCATCACATGTAGGTTTGTAAAATTGCTTTGTGAAAACTTCATGGGTTGAGTTACTTCCAGTATCCTCATTATGAGTTTTGTTATGCCTATCACAGTGGGGATTACATGAAGATAAAGATAGGGTTCTTTTTGTTGGAGAGCTTACTCCCTCACAGGGGTATTCAAGGCAATTTGATTATAATCTCTGAATGGAATTATCCTAACCCTGTGAGTATATACCAACAGGATAGTGAATAAGACAATTCACTTGCCAACTCTCTTTGCTCCCAGCCGAAGCATCTTCTCTGGCCTCCTTTTGTTTGATAGCATGCATCTCTGGACATTTTATGATAAAGTATTGCATGAACTCAGACCTAAAGAAGATTGATGACTGACATTACATCTATGTCCTGTCAGATCTAAGGTAAATTTTGTATACTTCTTTGGATGCATTACGGATTTATTGAGCAACAATGTAGGTCCTCATTTGTAGCCACTACCCATAGATGGAAAGCAAAGGAGCAGTAGCCTTCATATGTAAATCTAAGCTTTTTCAACATGACATCCTCTTTCCTCATGCCCAACTCAGGGAGTTTGATTGGTACTCAAGACATTCATTCATTCATATGTGTATCAAATATCAGTTAAGCATCTCCATTGTGCAAGGTACTAAGGACAGAGCAGTCAAGGCACAAAAACATCCTGAGGGATCTTTCAGTAGATGGGGGCTCGGGGTGGGGCAGGAAGACAGATGCTGTGCAGTGAACATAAATTGTTTCTATTCAGTATCCCTACCCTCCTTTTTCCCCTAAGAACAGTCTCTTTCTTCCCATGGAGAAGTTCTTTTTCAGTTCCATGTGGTATGGGAAGAGCACAAATCATGAAGTTTTCCTCTACCCCTATGGCACTATGGGAATTTTGGGGGTAGGTGGTTTAGAGTTGAACTCCAAGGTGGTCACAGTGATTATCCCAGGAATACACCTGCAGACCCAAGCCAGGGCAACTATAGTAATTCCCTGGGGTTTAATATGTGGTTGCCAGGAGAAAGCCTCCACAATCAGGCTCTCCCCTGACACTGCTCTACCTCTCTATTTCTTGCTACATAGAGGAAGAGGCCCACACAGAGTGAAGCAGAGCCAGCGGACAGAGAAAAAGAGAAAAGGAATAAGGAATGGCCATGAGAGAATCTAAATTGACCACTACTTTGAGTCACGCTCTACCCTCGCAGCCACCTGAGTCCATAAATTCCCCTTTCCTCCCAGTCTGAGTTTCCTGTTACATATAATCCAAAAATTCCTAACCCACAGTGTGGCAATTATAGATTGGGTTAACATAGGGATAAACCTGTGTGTGTGTGTGTGTGTGTGTGTGTGTGTGTGTGTGTAGCTACTGGGGGAACCAACATTCAAATGGTCTTGTGGAATGAGGGAGAACTTTTTTCTGGGAGGAGTGACATCCAAGCTGAGCTTTCCAGGAAAATTGGAGCTGGAAGAAGAGAAAGAATGAGAGTTGATTGACTGATTGGTTGCATAGAAGAACTGGGTACAGGTCGGAGGTGTGGGGGATATAAGAGGATTCACCAGAGACAGAGTGGGGAGCAGAACAGGCAGATCTACTGAAACACACTACTGAGGAGAGCAGCAGATAAGACACCTTGCAGTGATAGGGCCAAGACTGAATCCCTAACCCTCCAGGGAGAACCAATGGAGGGAAGCTCAAGAGTTTAAGAGATGCAGTAGAAGGAACATCTCATGTGAATTCCTAGAAATAAGAGGTATAATGGCCCAACTGGGGGAGGTTAGAAGGGCTCTGTCATGCTTGTAATGGAGAGTGCCTGGGCAGCTTGAGGCCAAATACAAGTCATACTAAATGTCACAAAAACTGACTGGAACAATCACAAAAACACTGACAGCACTAGGCCTCCTTAATAGGAGAGATGTAGGAGAAAGATGGCTTCTGTCCTTAAAGAGGCTCTCATTTCAGCAGGGATGTTGGATAGAAAGGTTCACAGAGTTAAATCATAAGATACAGCCATAAGATGATGTACTAAAGCAGCAATGGTAGGTGGCCAGGGAGAACATGAGGCCTGGAGATCCCAGAGAATGGGAAGCTTTGGGACTCGGCCTTGATGAAAACATTAAATTTGTTGTTCAGGTGGAAGAACATAAGGTCCAGTGCAGGGGACCAGTGAGGAGATAGACTAAATGTTCAGAGGGTTGAGTTAGAGAAACAGTTACTGTGGTAGGCTAAAGCCAGCAGGTCGAGGGCTTGACTGGTGGCTTTAGACTTTGTCCTGAAAGCAATGAGGATCCATGAATAACTTTTGAGTGTAGCCATGAATAACTTTTGTGTGTTACGGAGACAGTAACAAGTCATTAAGGAGTGATTTGCTTGGAGGCATGCAGAAAGACTTGGGTCAATTAGAGACAGAAGGCAAGAGGATGCTTGATCATGGTCTGGG